ATACCTAACAAATAAATCTAAGACAATCCATATGTAACCCTATTTATTGTAAAGTTCAATAAGCATTTCATCTAGCACTGATATCTGGGCAATTGTTCTCTAACCTGAACGCTCGTGTTCTCCAGTTTAATTCATTTTTCAAACTCCGACGTTTTTACTGGAACGATTAGGTTACAGCAGGACCCCTCTTATCCGAATGTCTGAATTCTCGTCATCAAAACACATTTCATATGGCTCGATTTATATCAATCCATTCGCGACACTATTGTACAAAGGATCATGTCCTCTCCATCGGTTCCGATAACTCAAGTGTCATGGCACTTTATGGGTTAATAATAGACCGCAGATTCACGCAAAACAAAACCACCAGAAGAAGCGAAGTAACGTGAAATAATCGCTTTTAATGCTCCGTAAATTCGGTGTAAAAAAACCTCGCAGAATCCGTCTGCGACTGGTGATAAGTTTCAATAAACGAGCCGTTTATTTTGAAAGTGGGCATAAGTCACTTTGTTTTTAAGTCGATATATTGAAGGGTTTGCGTTTTAACACGTTCAAAAATATGGATGCTAACTTTCGAGAAGATTTACTTGTATTTGTTATCTCAGGATACTGATATTTTTCTCGGTATAAATAATTTCGTATAAACATTAAAAAATCACTACTTTTCATTACGGTAAAATGACTTATGCCACTTTCAAAATAAACGGCTCAATTGGTTAACGCTGGTCATTGTCAAGTTTGATGATGTGTGTTTAATTTTTGTGAAATATATTCTCTATGATCTTGTTGTTTTTCTCGGTATAAATAATTTCGTATAAACGTTAAAAAATCACCACTTTTCATTACGGTAAAGTAACTTATGCCACTTTCAAAATAAACGGCTCAATTGAGTCAAATAGTGTACAAGGGTTGAAAGTGTGGCTGCTCATTACGGTAAAGTGAAAAGTTTAAAGTTTTCTCGGTATAAATAATTTCGTATAAACATTAAAAAATCACCACTTTTCATCACGGTAAAGTGCCATGCCACTTTAAAAATGAACGGCTCAAACGCAGAGTTTTATAAACCGCGTTCACGGACGTTTCCGTACGAAAAAAAAGAACAATATTAACGACAACTGAACGAAAACACATTTGAAACACTCACACTTCTCGTCATTCATACAAAACGTACCTATTACACACACGCGCGCGTCCCACCGATTATTTTCATCAAGTAGCAAGGAGAACAATTCCCGACACAGATGGGGAACAAGATAGAAAGACAGATTCGCACTCACCGTTTCTGACACGTGGGCTCCAGGTTGACGGTTGTTTTGGTGTCCACGGTTGACGATTTCGAATCCGCCGAGCGATCACCAGGGAACAGAACACAACTCGGCCCGAGCCAGCGTGAAGCGTTCGCGGGAAAGTTCTCTCGCGTGTGTCGCGCACAGGTGTCCACGTGGTCACCGTTCATGTGTCTTCTTACGAGAGGTGGAAAGAGCGCGAGCCGCGCGCCACCGCAGCCTTAATGGGACTGAAGTGTCTTCTCCGGTGTCAGAGCGTTCGCGCTGGCTGCTACCACCACTACTGGCCTCCGATCACCACACAACCACCGCCGGCTCTGCCGCCACCACCGCCACTACCACCACCACCATCGCCCGCTGCCAACTGCCTCGACGTCGCGTCGTCCTTCTCCCCTCCACAATGCCACCTTCCCGGTCTGACAGCTCGCGGCGTTTTGGTAAGCGCCCTGAGCTTGCAATCCTCTTTGCCCAGCCCTCGAGGTCACCCCTCTGTGCCTGTGTGTCAACTGGCTCCAATCCCCATCCCGATGGCCCGCGGCCAATTTGATTCACGTTTATCATCTTCATCGTCATCATCATTATTATTGTTATTTGCAACTGTCCCTTTCCCGATTTTCATTCTTCTTTGTCAACCCGGTCGTTGGCTGCCACACTCTGATACGTACCAAGCATTCGGCTCGAATTTTCATTGTTCCTTTTCTCTGAAAGGACGATGTTCCAGCGATAATTAATTAAATATTAGTTTTTTTAAATTAATCAATTTAACAGCCGAGGATTCGGTAGTTCGTTGGAGATTTAAATATACGTAAAGTGACTTGATTAATTGAGCCGTTTATTTTGAAAGTGGCATAAGTCACTTTACCGTGATGAAAAGTGGTGATGTTTTAATATTTATACGAAATTATTTATACCAAGGAAACTTTAAACTTTTCACTTTACCGTAATGAGCAGCCACACTTTCAACCCTTGTACACTATTTGACTCAATTGAGCCGTTTATTTTGAAAGTGGCATAAGTCACTTGACCGTAATGAAAAGTGGTGATTTTTTCATGTTTATACGAAATTATTTATACCGAGAAAAATAACAAGATCACAGAGAATATATTTTACAAAAATTAAACACACATCATCAAACTTGACAATGACCAGCGCTAACCAATTGAGCCGTTTACTTTGAAAGTGGCATAAGTCACTTTACCGTAATGAAAAGTAGTGATTTTTTAATGTATATACGAAATTATTTATACCGAGAAAAATATCAGTATCCTGAGATAACAAATGCAAGTAAATCGTCTCGAAAGTTAGCATCCATATTTTTAAACGTGTTAAAACGCGAACCCTTCAATATATCGACTTAAAAACAAAGTGACTTGTGCCACTTTCAAAATAAACGGCTCGTTTATTGAAACTTATCACCAGTCGCAGACGGATTCTGCGAGGTTTTTTTACACCGAATTTACGGAGCATTAAAAGCGATTATTTCACGNTTTTTTTACACCGAATTTACGGAGCATTAAAAGCGATTATTTCACGTTACTTCGCTTCTTCTGGTGGTTTTGTTTTGCGTGAATCTGCGGTCTATTATTAACCCATAAAGTGCCATGACACTTGAGTTATCGGAACCGATGGAGGGGACGTGATCCTTTGTACAATAGTGTCGCGTATGGATTGATATAAATCGAGCCATATGAAATGTGTTTTGATGACGAGAATTCAGACATTCGGATAAGAGGGGTCCTGCTGTAACCTAATCGTTCCAGTAAAAACGTCGGAGTTTGAAAAATGAATTAAACTGGAGAACACGAGCGTTCAGGTTAGAGAACAATTGCCCAGATATCAGTGCTAGATGAAATGCTTATTGAACTTTACAATAAATAGGGTTACATATGGATTGTCTTAGATTTATTTGTTAGGTATGAACGTGTTTGAATGATAGCGAATTTAGATGTCGGAGAAGTCGGACGGTCGAGGTGCTACTGCAAATTCGATGAAATCGAACTGCAGAATAAGAGCTTGTCATAATAATCTCTTTCTGATCTCTATCGATAGAAATATTTTAATAATATAATTGTGGGCCGGTGATGGTGATCGTTAGAACGTGATCGACAAATTCTGTAAAATGGCGCGTTGAAAAATTTGTCGAAATAGATAGAAAATAATTGATCGTGAANAAACTTTAAACTTTTCACTTTACCGTAATGAGCAGCCACACTTTCAACCCTTGTACACTATTTGACTCAATTGAGCCGTTTATTTTGAAAGTGGCATAAGTCACTTGACCGTAATGAAAAGTGGTGATTTTTTCATGTTTATACGAAATTATTTATACCGAGAAAAATAACAAGATCACAGAGAATATATTTTACAAAAATTAAACACACATCATCAAACTTGACAATGACCAGCGCTAACCAATTGAGCCGTTTACTTTGAAAGTGGCATAAGTCACTTTACCGTAATGAAAAGTAGTGATTTTTTAATGTATATACGAAATTATTTATACCGAGAAAAATATCAGTATCCTGAGATAACAAATGCAAGTAAATCGTCTCGAAAGTTAGCATCCATATTTTTAAACGTGTTAAAACGCGAACCCTTCAATATATCGACTTAAAAACAAAGTGACTTGTGCCACTTTCAAAATAAACGGCTCGTTTATTGAAACTTATCACCAGTCGCAGACGGATTCTGCGAGGTTTTTTTACACCGAATTTACGGAGCATTAAAAGCGATTATTTCACGTTACTTCGCTTCTTCTGGTGGTTTTGTTTTGCGTGAATCTGCGGTCTATTATTAACCCATAAAGTGCCATGACACTTGAGTTATCGGAACCGATGGAGGGGACGTGATCCTTTGTACAATAGTGTCGCGTATGGATTGATATAAATCGAGCCATATGAAATGTGTTTTGATGACGAGAATTCAGACATTCGGATAAGAGGGGTCCTGCTGTAACCTAATCGTTCCAGTAAAAACGTCGGAGTTTGAAAAATGAATTAAACTGGAGAACACGAGCGTTCAGGTTAGAGAACAATTGCCCAGATATCAGTGCTAGACGAAATGCTTATTGAACTTTACAATAAATAGGGTTACAGATGGATTGTCTTAGATTTATTTGTTAGGTATGAACGTGTTTGAATGATAGCGAATTTAGATGTCGGAGAAGTCGGACGGTCGAGGTGCTACTGCAAATTCGATGAAATCGAACTGCAGAATAAGAGCTTGTCATAATAATCTCTTTCTGATCTCTATCGATAGAAATATTTTAATAATATAATTGTGGGCCGGTGATGGTGATCGTTAGAACGTGATCGACAAATTCTGTAAAATGGCGCGTTGAAAAATTTGTCGAAATAGATAGAAAATAATTGATCGTGAAAAGAAATTCCGCATCGTGTCGTAAACTTTGTTTGTTAACGGAGTGGACAGAGCGAATTGTTGACAGGAAAGTTACCAATTAAACTATGAAAGTATGAATTTTAATGATCGTATATTATTATTCTTGTGTCGTTTAAAACGAAATCGGACAGGTGAAACACTGTAAGAACGTCAGGAGAATGTAAAAATACTACCATATCGTCAAAAATGCTAACATGAGCGTTCAGGTTAGAGAACAATTACCCAGATATCGATGCTAGATGAAATGCTTATTTGTAACAGTGCGATATATCTACTCTGTTAGCGACATAAATAGCATTAGCAACATATAGGATTGTTTCAGCGAAAGCCTCCGAAACGTGGCCGCGATTCATGTGAAAAATGACGGCAGGAAGTTAGCGGGGGCGCGTCCGTTCGATTTGCTCGGAACATTTTGCAAGAACTTTTCGCCGGCATCGTGTACGCGTGCAATTTCGATGTTACTCGGCCTCCCTCGGTTGTCTACATAGCTAAGCTAGTGGAGCTAGATCGCCGGGCAACTTTGTTGAAATGCAAATGAAATTTAATCAACGATACAACTTCATCGTTGCCCGCCCGAGGTATCGCGGCATCCCCGATTCGATCCCTTAATCCGATGTCTAGCTTCTTTAATTTAGATTATCACGTTCGTCATCCTCTTCCTCTTTCTATGCCGTTGCACACCGTTGCATCGTCCCGCGGGCTTTTGATAAGCGCCCGGAGCGTCCTTCGGGTTTCTCGGGCGTACGCGAACAGCCTAGATCTTCATCGGCGTGTACGCGTCGGTTTTGCTTCTTTTTCAGCGCGCCGGTTCTCCATTACGTCGGCCTTTTAGATCGCGCGTCACTATTTGCCCTTCGATGACCCTAATTGCCGATGCACTCGAATTTTTTCACGGATCGACTCTCGCCCGATCCTCCGTTCCCCCTTCTTTTTCCTGGTCGCGTTATCTGCACGCCCACTTCTGAAACGACGAGAAATCAGCTGAAAGTGTTCGATCGAATAAATTATTATATAAATATAAATATAAATATAAATATAAATATAAATATAAATATAAATATAAATATAGATATAGATATAGATATAGATATAGATATAGATATAGATATAGATATAGATATAGATATATTTATAGATATATTTATATAGATATAGATTGGTATTAAAATTGATCCACAGCTTCGTCATACTGTTTAAGTATTATTATTTTATATTATATTATTATTTTATTATATTATTATATTATTATATTATTATATTATTATATTATTATTTTATTATATTATTTATATGTATTTTCCATTTGATGAAAAAACAAGAGAAATATTTTAATATATACGTAGTATTATATTCGCAATAAATAGTCAAAGAAATCTTTTCGATTCTGATCGAATATTTTCTAGGCGCGAGTAGTATTAAACATTCAGTTAGAATTACGATTCCATCAGATTCCACTAGAAATCATTTTCTCGATGAGCGATTTAGATAAACGTCATGCTTACTGCTATAGTAATAACAATGCTCCGTAAGTTCTCGTTCGAATGGACTAGTCGGATGATTAGTATGTACAGTTCGCTGTGGTTTCATACTTTCCCATTTGTCTACCTTTTACATCCTCTATGGGAGCGCTATGTAATTGCGCATTCTATAAATTGTTCAGGTTCAAGAACGAGATTACTGTACTCCCGTAGACAAGCAGCTTTTAATCGAATGCTATAACATCTCAAAGTTATATCAGCTTACCATGCTGTTATGCAAACAGTTTGTTTCTTACGTTGAATTGGCGTTCTCTCGCGTCGGATGATTACTATGAAGCATTCATCGAAGAGTATTGTTTAACCGTTTGCGTGCCACGAGCCACTTTTGCGATCTTCAGATTTTGTGTCGAGA